CCCAACATGCCAATGGGCATTAGGGATCCCAAGAAGTATCTCTACAGGGGATTTATAAATTGCCCGTATGTTGATCATATTTGAGGATAATTCCAGGCATTAGGGAAAGATTTATACCACATTAAGAATGCCAGGAATCAAAAGAGCAATCCTCACATCCACGTACCAAAAATTCTAAACCTAATCGTTTAGAATATCTTATATTTGTATCATATTGCAAAGAATCTGCCAGAAACATTTACTGATAGTAAGGGTGTCACAAAATCCTCTTATCCTACTTATAATGCGCCCGAAAGAATAGAGGTACCAATTAAAACCATTCAACTCCCACTTCCAAAGAAGAGGAGGAGAAGTACGGCCGCTCTTAAGGATAATGCTCTAAGTAAGTGTCTGAGGATACCGAGGACAATATCCTCCAAATCAGTAAATCCAAGCAAACCTCAAGTTGGTAGACACCCAAAATGGATGAGCATCCAAAACCCGGATCAAAATCCACCAGGATCAACGGTGCACCCAAATTCTGATCTAGGGACATTGGAACACCCTGACTCCATATGGAAAATGATTCGGAGTCCAAAAGGGTTAACATTTTCACATGCTATATTGATTTCAAGAACTGAATCAATCATTTAAAGACTACAAATTGCCGCGGCATATACTCCTAAAAGATTGCCTTTTTACCTTACTGGATCCAGACCAAAAATCCTAGGCAGAGTGTCTTCACACTCAAATTTGATCAAACTAAAAGGTGATAATTAAGGAGATTGTTCTTGTTCAATGATGAGAAGTATTACCATGGTAATATCTTCCCTCACAGAGTTTCTTTTCGGAAGCAAGGTGGTGAACAATGAGAGCTTGTAGCATATGGTTTCACGCAGAGACCCAGCATAGCATACCCCATGGTATGTGTGAAAATGAAGTTTTCCAAATTCAATAATTGCCGGATCAAATGAATTTGATAGATTCGGACGTATAAGTCCCAATGGACTTCATATTCTGAATCCAAATACAAATCGAAACATACATTGTGTATAATTAAGCATGATTACACATATTGGTTATTTTGATATCATCATGATATAGAAATAATTATGCAATCATTTGAGATACAATTTCTATCATGTGGATTCGAGATGGAGTATTTGGGTAAGACCAAATGTTGCCTTAGCTTACAACTTGAGCACCGTCCTTCAAGAATTTTAGTGCATCAATCAGCCTATATCTAGAAAATATTGGAGAAATTCAATATAGACAAATCATATCATATCAAAACCCCGATGGTTGTTCGTTCTTTAGAAATAAAGAAAGATCCATTTAGACCACGAGATTTTGGAGAAAAGATATTGGGACCGAGGTTCCATATCTTAGTGTCATTGGAGCACTTATGTATCTTGCAAATTGCACCAGGCCTGATATCGCATTTACAGTGAACATATTAGTTAGACATAGTGCCAATCCAACTTACCGTCATTAGACGGGAGCGAAGCATATCCTCGGATATCTTAGTGGCACAAAGGATGTTGGTTTACTCTTTAAGAGAAATCATGATCACAATATAATTGGATACACGGATACTGGTTACTTATCTGGTCCCCATCCCAAACTAGATTTGTATTCTTACATGGAGGTACAGCTATTTCATGAAGTCTTCTAAACAGACTCTGACGACGACCTCTACTAATCATTATGAAATTATTGCTCTATACGAGGCATCACGAGAATGTGTATGGCTTCGCAGAATGATTAACCACATACAACAGTCATGTGGTATTGGTTCAATTGAATCACCTATAATTATCTATGAAGATAATTCCGCTTGTGTTATACAGATGCAAACAGGTTACATAAAGAGCAATATCACTAAGCATATTGTTTCTAAACTGTTTTATCCCCATGAATTATAAGAAAGCGGAGAAATAAACATCTTGCAAATACAGTCATGTGATAATCTCGCTGACCTATTTACTAAGTCCTTACCAACTTCTGTGTTTCAAAAATTGGTACATGGAATTGATATACGGCGACTTTGAGATTTGCCAGAATCAGGGGAAGACATCTCCTAAATGTTGACCCGTACCAGCATCATATTATACTCTTTTCTTTCACAAGTTTTACTTACAAGGTTTCTTGTCAAAAAATTTAATGAGGTAATATTAACATAAGCATGTGTCATATTTTCTATTTTTCCCACCGGGGTTTTTGTAGAAAATATCAAAGACACATATTGCCCTCACAACTCAGCCATGGTTTTTCCCTGAGAAGGTTTTTCATGTGAGTTATCCAAGAGGCAATACCAATAATATGTCATCATATTTTCTCCTAATTTTTCCACTGGGTTTTTACAGGAGTTTTAGCGACATATCACTTTATATTGCTCCTCATATTTTTCCTAAAAAGTTTTTTGGAGGAGTTATCTTTATGTCGTATCTCCAATATTTTTTTCCATTGGAGTTTTTAATGGGATACCAATGACATAGTGGTTTACTTAAATCACAAATAAATATGTTATTTTCTCCTTATTTTCCAATAAGGTTTAAAGGAGTTTTTATGGCATATCATATATTTCTCAGATTTTTTCCATAGGATTTTTCAAGGAATTTCAGCTTACAGCTGCATTGATCTCAAGGAAGATTCGATCAAGGAGGAGTGTTACGAAATGGTGTCTCTCAACAGACACCCCTTCGGTGATCTTATCAACGACGCCATGAACAGACACCTGTTCATGAAGTGATCTCAGGATTAGACAGTTAGTTTTACTCCAAAGGGCATGTTCTTTGGGAACAGTCGTGTCCCTTCATGACACCCCTTTCACTTGTATAAATATATTTCAGAGATTAATGAAAATGATAGTTCTCCAAAATCTTATTCATTTACATTCACGCTTCAACAATCGAAAAAAGTACAAGCCACATAGAAGAGAAAAGGCAACGGTCACTCCTGCAAATGTGTCACACACACATAGCTATACAAGTGTATCTCACACACATTCGTAGAAAAAAAAGTGTTCAGACACACTACTGCATATGCGTGCGAAAGAGAAAAGACAACGGTCACTCCTACAAATGTGTCTTACACACATAGCTGTACAAACATGTTTCACACACATCACAAAAAAAAGTGTTCCACACACTACTGCATATATGCGTGTGAGTATGTCTCAATCACGTGAGTTTATCTTTTTTTTCTCTAAAACAGCGCATACGCTCATACATGTATGCACGCTCACCCATATGAACACATAACTTACTTTATAACCATTTTCTAAGAGACTGAGCCGACTGATCTTGAGATTGACGAAGTCGCCATATGTAGTGTCAGCGCGTGAAGCTTAATCGATGGGCGCAATCAAGAGAAAAATGCTACAATTGAATGTCAAAAGAGAATTTTAGTGCATGATACAATGGTAGGGGCTTACTTGTGTATATTAGGATGTGTCACGATCACTGCTACTCTCCATAGGCCAATAAATATATATAAAGTAAAGTTCATAGCCGGTCCTCGAACTTGTTGGAGTGTGTCATCCCGGTCCCTGAACTCAAAAAGCGTGTCATTCGATCCTTAAAATCTGGTTGCGTCTCATATTCATCCAAATGGTGTTGCGTGTCCATTCCCGGAGATGAGGCGCTATGTGTCTTGCAGGGTGCACCGACGAGGGAGAGAGGCACAAGGGCCTCTTCCACCTAGGGCAGATTCCGGGGGCTGCCGGCGTAGGCGTGCTGGACTACGGGCACCAACCCTAGAGCGGAGCGGAGCGTCCGACCGTGGAGCATCATGGCCGCGGCGGACCGACCCTACAGCGGAACAGCCCACCGGTGGGGAGCGCAACAGCCGGAGGAACCCTAGCGCCGACACTCTCTTCGCTCCTCGCAGTGCTTCTGAACACAGTTCACATGGATGATAAAGAAAGAGGGAAAAATGAATGGGTACCTTCGTAAACCAGTGGCAGGTGGATAATTTTTTTAAAGTTACCGTTTCCGCAGCTGGAGAAAGCAGGAGAGAGCTGTTATGTGTTTTGTACTAGAGGTGCCTCAAAGCTCCTATAGATTCCCACCCTTCTGGTCGGCTTTTCGCTTTTTCTAAGCAAAAGCAACTCCTAAAAATCCAACTAAAGGGACCCTAAGTGCTGCGAGTTGCAGCTAAACAGGCCCTATAATGCACATCAACAATTTACATAGTTATTAATACATTAATTAATGGGCATATAAATCATATAATTTGTGGCTGAGACTTAGAATGACCTAGAATCGGAATTTTTGCTGGATCTGTCTAGCCCCGTTTGGTAGAGCTTTCAGAGCTGATTCTTTGTTGAATCCAGCAGGAGTTCTGCCAAATAGTTTATCCGAGAGAAGTGATTATCTGCTGATTCCATGAAGTGATTATCTGAAATAAACTAAGAGGTTGGGAGCTGAAAAAGTAGCTTCTCCTGATTCTGTGAAGTGATTCTCCATCGTGATTTTGAGAGTTTATGTTAAAGAATCAAAGAGAATCACTTTCAGCCACAGAATCACTTCTCTCATAGAATCAGCTTCCATAGAGAATCAGAATCATCTCTCCCAGCCTCTTAGTTCATTTCAGAAAATCACTTTATATAATCAGTAGAAAATCCTTTCTCTCTTAAAAACTGTTTGATAGAGCTCCTGCAACTCCGGGAGCTCACCCAAATAGAGCCTAACAGGCCCCTAGTGTCAGTCCCTACCAAGAAGAGAAATCAGCTACGGCTACGGTCTACGGGTACAGGGTCCCAACTACAAACCGACCTCAGGAACGAACCGCCTTCATCCGTTGGGCCCCCCTGCCGCTCTCTCCGACACAGCTCAGCCCACCCCAGCCCAGGCCACTCGCGACCCGCAGCGCGTCTCCTCCTTTCCTCGTCCACCCGGCCATCTCCGCAGCCACTAACCCGCAGCCCAGCACCGGCCGCTCCACGCCTCCACCCCCCTCGTTTCGGTCCGACGAGCCCATCGCCTCCGCCGCTTCGTCGCCGTCGAGGTCGCACCACCATGGCGGCGCTCCTAGCCCGGCAGGCAGCGCAGGCGCTCCGCGCGAGGCAGACGGTACGAATCCCTAGCCGTATCCTCCCGTGCCCGGCGCTTCCAGAGTCCAGATCCCCTCTATCCGCTCGCGGATTCTCAGATCGAGAGCCTTGTCATTCCTGGGTGCTGGCGTTGCGGATGCGTGTGTGACTCTGTGGTGCCGGTGTTGTTGCAGGCGCAGCTCGGGCCGGCCGCGTCGGCGATGCAGGGGCACCTCCGTACCTACATGAACGCGGGGATTCCCAAGCGGTTCAAAGGTCACTGCTGTCCCCCTTTCTATTGCACTGTTTGCCAGTATCGGTACCACAAAAAATAATGCGATTCATGTTGAGCTGGTTTCCTATATGTTACGAGTAGTTTGCAAGAGCACTGAATTGAGGGATGCATGAAACTGTTTGGTCTTGGGTTATTGATTGATTGTATGCCTTTCAAGTTTCAGTCAACATGACATGCTCAAATAGGACAGACTGGTGAATTTGAAATCAGAAATTTATGAGGATAATTCGGCGCAGTTCTATATGAGCGTCTGGTTTGCAATTAGTTGTCTGTCGATGGGTTTTGGTACCTTCGGAAAGAGCAGTATATGAAACTTTTCAGGATGAGTTTTTGGTTACCAGTTAAATTCGACTTTCAAGTTTCAGCCAACACGAAATTCTCAAATATGATGTTGTGCCTTGCTGTCTTGGTTTATTTTTAGGATGGTCTGTTGAACTTCACATTTGAAGTTGATGAGTGATTAGGCAGATTACTATTTGAGCTGTATTTCTTCACACTTAGATTTCCATGTCCTCCTATGTGTTTACATACATAATTTGAGTTTGCTCAGTGTTACTGTTCTCTGAGTGTTTAATCCTATTTAATGACCAGAGGATGAGGAGAAAGAACAGCTTGCAAAAGATGTCGCAAAAGATTGGAATGCTGGTGAGTTTCTGATGATGTTTTTTTTGTGTGCATTGGACAAGAGTATGATCATTGGCAATTTTGTTCATTGCTGCCGAGATATTGTTGTTCTCCCTCTCTCATTGTGATTTTCTTGTTTCAGTCTTTGAAAGGAGCATCAATACATTGTTTTTAACTGAAATGGTCCGTGGCTTGATGCTAACTCTCAAGTACTTCTTCGATAGAAACGTTACAGTAAGTGGTGAATTTGACATATGATGTTATCTGTACTGTAGTTGTATGCTTCCATTGACTGTTTTTATCTCACCACATTGCAGATTAACTATCCATTTGAGAAGGGTCCTCTGAGTCCCCGCTTCCGTGGTGAGCACGCTCTCAGACGTTACGAATCTGGGGAAGAGCGTTGCATTGCTTGTAAACTATGTGAAGCTGTAAGTTGTACTTATGTTTAAAGTTTTCTTACTTTAGACGATGAACATCAAATACAGCTAGGAACCAGTTGTTTTCCCATCTTACCCGAATAATAGTTGTCAAATCAAATTCCAAAAATACCAGTTACCTACTGGTATCTGTGCTGCCAGGGTCTGAGATTTTAGCTAAACTGGAAAGCAAAACCCTGATTGTGGGTCCTTTTGAGTTCATAAGAGTTACTACGATTTTAATATTTTAATGTATCTTGTCATAAAAATATATTTGAAATGTAAGTCACTTGAAAGCAAAATCAGTTTTGTCATATTGCTGCCCAATGTTTTAGGTGCTCCTTATCATCTTGCGGTTGTATAGCAAGTTCATATAAGGTGGCCATGAAAATTTTGGAGGGGGCATTATACATTCAATTGTGAAATACCAGCATTATACATTCAATTTTGAATACCAGCAATTCATGATATAGAGATAAAAATTTATAGGCTCCTTGTCTCCACTAACTCATACTAGATTTACCAAACACTTTGGTATATGCTTGCTTCAACATGTGGTGTTTCTGAGTAATTAAGTATAGTGAAATGGCCTTTGTTATACTAGTGTAGTGGGGTAGGTTTGGCTTATGATGGTTGGATTGTTGATGGTTCTTGTGGTAACTAAGGTGGCACTTATTGATACATAACTCTGCCTATTTGAGAAAAAAACTATTGCTCACATGATATGAACGATGTCCAGATATGCCCAGCTCAGGCAATTACAATTGAGGCAGAAGAACGTGAAGACGGCAGTCGCCCGAACCACAAGGTAATGAAAATGAAGCTTTTCTCTCTTTTTTGTCTATAGAACTATGATTTACTGTGTTCTGCAATTAAACTTTAACAATCTGAACTTGTGTTGTTTTTATCTCATCACAGATATGATATTGACATGACCAAATGCATTTACTGTGGGTTCTGCCAAGAGGCTTGCCCAGTCGATGCTATTGTTGAGGGGCCTAACTTTGAGTTTGCTACCGAGACACACGAGGTAAACTACTTGATTCCACTGTAGGTTTGATCTCAAGTTTTTGATGTCTTGCTGCTAAGCCTTGACATACAACGATGCAGGAATTACTGTACGACAAGGAGAAATTGCTTGAGAATGGTGATCGCTGGGAGACTGAGATTGCTGAGAACTTGAGATCTGAGAGCCTTTATCGCTGAATCTGTCTTCCATTGTGGTTGATAAACTGGGTTCTTCCATTTTCCATATTTTGCTCAACTAGCTGATGAATAAGCACACAATGTGTCATAACTTAGATCCCAGGTACCATGTTTTTGTACCTCGGCACCATCTGTCTGTTTTGTTCATTGCCTTGCCAAAGGTGGCACCGAATGTTCTTTAATGGGAAAATTCCTTCTGTAGCACTGAACTGTTTTCAGTCAGACCTTATTTTGTATACAATGAAACAGGACACTGTGCTCACGGCTCAGTGATTTGGTGAATGTTAACATGCTTGTTTCTCACTCTGTTTTTAAACAAACAACGTTTGAACTAATTAGCTTGCAGTAAATGTCGTTTATTTAAAAACAAACGGAGGTAGTACCAAATTTTTGAACTTGGGATGTTGCAGGATACCGTTGGGTCCTGGAGGGTCTAGTCTATGTACGTGTCTGCCTATGTATGACCTTGCAGATCATGAAGCGGCAGGAACATAAATATCATTTTTATATATTGGAGAGTCTATACGTGTCTGCCTATCTCTGTCCTTCAAAATTTGACTGGTAAATCTGAGTGTCGTGTCTCTGATATAACATCTATTTCGTATTATTTTGAATCCTGTTGAAAGTATCTAACTTATAAAATATTTTAAGAACCTAAAAGAAAAGCTTTCGTAGCTCAGTTGGTTAGAGCACCCGTTTAGTAAGCGGGAGGTCTTGAGTTCGACTCTCAACGAAAGCAAATAATTTCTTATTTTTTTTAAAGAAATCCATCAGGCATCAGGCAGGGGTGTTGGTTGCACCTCATAAATTTTAGTCGCTATCCTATCGAATGTTTGACACATGCATGGTCTATTAAATGTAGATTAATTACATAATTTGCGAGACGAATCTTTTAAGCCTAATTAGTCTATGATTTGACAATGTTTGCTACAGTACACATGTGCTAATGACGGATTAATTAGGCTTAAAAAATCGTCTCGTGGAGTACTGACGGATTATGTAATTTATTTTTTATTAGTATCCGAATACCCCATACAACGCCCTCCCGACGTACCTCCTAAATTTTAGTCACTGCATCGAAACACTCTCTTACTTGACGGCAGTTGCCAGCTATCCTACAAATCCATTAGGCACCTCACTCCTCCGTATTCAGTCCATCTATCCGTCCGTTCCATCCGTCGGTCTTCTTCCTTGGCTTCTCCCTCCAATCCCCGTTGCCCACCTGCCTTCGTGTTCTCCGGCCGTCTGGCTAGCTAGCTAGCTGGGCTTTGGTTCGTGCCATTGCCAAGGAGGTCCGGCTGGCGACCAAGTTTGTTGCGATATGCTGCTTAAGGGGGGGAGGAGCGGCAGGAGGCGATGAGCAAGCTGAGGCGAATCCCAAGAGCGGGGAAAGGCGCCCGTGAATCTGGGGTCGACGTGAGGAGACGCCAAGAACAGCGTGGCTGCAACCCGGCCCGCCAGGGAGGAGGAATGGCGGCAAGGTGCCGGCGGAGGAGGTATGGGCGGTGCGACCCAGCGGGATATTTATATTTTTTTTCTAAAATTGGTCAAACTTGATTTACTTAAACATGACACTGTTTTAAAATTGTATTCTTTTGGGGACGGGAGGAGTAATGTCATAATAGCAATTTGTACTTAGAAATTAAAATTCTTGCATTAATTAATCACATTGGCCATGACCAAGGGCTCGTTTAGATACACATGACTATTTACTAGTTAGAGCCAAAAATTAGTCTAAATTAGTTATGGTTGACTAGGTAGTAGCTAACGGCTAGCTGAGGACTTGTCTAAGAAATTAGTTCACCTATTAATTCTTCTCTATAAATGCACTAGGGTTAATTTGAACTAATTTTTAATTAGCTATATTGGCAATTAGCTCCCGTATCAAACATGTCCTAAAATAAACTTATGAGGTAACTTTTAAAAAAAAAATAAGGTAAATGAGCTTTTGGCCCCATGTGTCCTGGACTCCTAGTGACCACCTCTTCCACTCTCTTTAATCACACGTGGACCCCAAAGCCCCTAGTATTCGCTCCGTTGGTTTGGCTTATAAACCGTATTTTTTTAGTCAACGAATAATATTTTTCTTTTATAACAAATTAGTCAACAGTACTTTCAGCTATGGCTTATTAGTCAAGCGAGCAATGCAATTATCTCTTTGATGCTTCAACCCCACACCCTCCGCCCGCACGGGTCTCTTCCACGTTGTGCTGGCCGACGCCGCGCCTGCGCACGTATAATCGCCCGCGCGCTTCGCTCCGATGACGGAGCTCGGAGTTGCGCGATTTGGGTGTAGCGTTGACTGCCGTGGCCGGGGATGGAGGTGCGCTAGACGGGTAGAGTGGCGACGGGCGTCGCAGGCACGCTACACAAGACGCCCCGTCCGCTCGTGTTGAAAGGGTGGTTCGGCCCCGAATTTGGCGAGTTTATTGGCCCCGTTCACTTGGTGGGAAAAAAAAAAGTCAAAATATTATTCTGACTGATTTGTTGTAAGAGAAAAACACTATTCTAACTAAAAAAAAGCTGAAAAATATAAATTATAAAAATTATAAGAGAAGCGATCATGTTGGGATCGACTCGTCGCTTCCAACCCGATCAAACAACGTGAAAAAAGGAGATCGTCCCATCAAGGAAACGAGGAACAAACCAACCCTCAAAAGTACACAACATAGCTCAAGCGAGATACTTCAATTATGACATGCAACAACTAGACAGTTCAACAAGTGACATGAAAGCAAAAACCAACATTACCCAACACCCTCTTCGCTTGATCGTTTCTGTGGCTTATAAGCCAACTGATGCTGTTTTGTTATAAGAGAAAAAACATGTATCATGGCTGATAAGCATGACTCGACAGCCAAACAGATTCATGCAAGCAGATCAGTACTCCTCGTCCTCCTCACCGTCATCACTGCCGCCCTCAGCAGCAACCTCCTCGTAGTCCTTCTCCAGGGCGGCCAGGTCCTCGCGTGCCTCGGAGAACTCCCCCTCCTCCATGCCCTCGCCGACGTACCAGTGCACGAACGCGCGCTTGGCGTACATGAGGTCGAACTTGCTGTTGATGCGGGAGAACACCTCGACGACGCTGGTGGAGTTGGAGATCATGCACACGGCGCGCTGCACCTTGGCGAGGTCGGCCCCCGGCACCACCGTCGGTGCCTGGTAGTTGATGCCACACTTGAACCCAGTCGGGCACCAGTCCACGAACTGGATGGTGCGCTTCGTCTTGATGAGGGACACCGCGGCGTTCACGTCCTTGGGCACCACGTCGCCACGGTACATCAGGCAGCACGCCATGTACTTGCCGTGCCGTGGGTCGCACTTGACCATCATGGAAGCCGGCTCGAACGCGCTGCTGGTGATCTCTGCCACCGACAGCTGCTCGTGGAAGGCCTTCGCCGAAGAGATCACTGGCGCGTATGAGGAGAGCATGAAGTGGATCCTCGGGTAAGGAACCAGGTTGGTCTGGAACTCATTCACATCCACATTGAGGGCACCATCGAACCTCAGGGAAGTAGTAAGTGATGAGATCACCTGCACACCAAAACAGTTCAATGCATACATTTTAGCATCGGTTTCAAGGATGTATGAACAAAACCAGAGCACATATGTATGAACAAAACCAGCACATCCCCACCCAGTATAATGCAATTGTTCTACCTGAGACACAAGGCGATTCAGGTTGGAGTAGTTGGGCCTCTCAATGTCGAGCGAGCGCCTGCAGATGTCATAGATGGCCTCATTGTCGAGCAGGATGGAGACATCTGTGTGCTCCAGCAAGGAGTGGGTGGAGAGCACGCTGTTGTAGGGCTCCACAACAGAGGTTGACACCTGGGGAGATGGGTACACAGTGAAGCCCAGCTTGGATTTCTTACCGTACTCCACAGACAGGCGCTCAAGGAGGAGTGAACCAAAGCCAGAGCCGGTTCCACCACCAACAGCATTGAAGACCAGGAAGCCCTGAAGCCCGGTGCAGTTGTCAGCGAGCTTGCGGATGCGGTCAAGGCACAGATCAACAATCTCCTTGCCAACTGCATGAACAAGAGCATGCAAAACATAAATGAGTTGTGATGGGCTTATTCTGTGTAACACAAAGTTTTTAGATGGGCAATTACTTGTGTAGTGGCCACGGGCAAAGTTGTTAGCAGCATCCTCCTTGCCGCTGATGAGCTGCTCAGGGTGGAAGAGCTGGCGGTAAGTGCCAGTGCGCACCTCGTCGATCACAGTGGGCTCAAGATCAATGAAGATTGCACGGGGCACGTGCTTCCCTGCACCAGTCTGGCTGAAGAAGGTGCTGAAGGCGTCATCGTGGTGTCCCGCGGTCTTGTCTCCAGGCACTTGGCCATCAGGCTGCATATGCATAGAACAGAAAGGTGTTAAATGCAATTCAGATCATATCGTGAAAGGATCAAAGGAGCCTGGTTGCAAGGGTTCAGCATACCATCAATTTAATTAGTATTTGATTCAAAAGGGATGATGGCAACTCAAATTCATAGGAAAGGGAAATTTCAGTTCAGTCATAGTTGCACAGCACAAACTAAAGCGGCATTCCCATATTCTCATTTGGGATTAGATCGAAGAAATGGAAATGACATGGATAAATTTACAGTATCAGAGCTTGATTCACGAAATAATACAAGTAGAATTCAATCAACCCCTAGATGGCAACAACAGAAACAGAGATATCGCAGTTCATAGGAAAGAGAAATTTCATTACAGTCAAATTACAGTTGCACAGGACAAACTAAAATTTCATTCCCCTAGACCAATTTGGAATCAGATCGAGGAAATGAAAACAACATGACTATAATTTACAGAATCAGAGCTTAATTCACGAAATAATACAAGGAGAATTCAATCAACTCCTAGTCGACAATAACAGATACAGAGATAGCGCCGTTCAAGGAGACATTTTATTACAGTTGCACAGCACAAACTAAAGCATGATTCTCCTATACCAATTTGGAATCAGATCGAAGAAATGAAACAACATGAGTAAAATTTACAGAATCAGAGCTTGATTCACGAAACAATAAGGAGAATTCAATCAACTCCTATTCGACAATAACAGATACAGAGATAGCGCAGTTCATCCACGCACAGAACAGATCCAAACCGACCACGAACGGCCGATGACTAATTGCGACATCGCAACCCGTCTGAGAATAGGCGTGACCAGCAACAGACGGGTGCATACGAGATGTAAAATTCGATCGGAACAGCATGTTATTTCCGCCGCAAAGTATTAATCGCAAACGAAATCCACAATACGCCCAAACAAAGGATGATTCGCAGTTCAAATCGCGCAGGAAATTTCGAACCCTACTCTACTAGTACTACCAACAGATCTGACAAAAAAACCTAACCACTTCACCCCGATTCGAGTATAGCGCCCTGCGACTACAAATCGCAGAACTCCTCGACAACAAATCAGAAATCAATCGAAGACGATGATGGGGATCGCACCTGGATGCCGTGCTCGAGGCAGTAAAGTTCCCAGCACGCGTTGCCGACTTGGATGCCGGCCTGCCCGATGTGGACGGAGATGCACTCCCTCATCTTCCTCCTCTCCTCTCAAACAACCGCGCGTCGATCGGGGGAGGGCGGAAAGGGGAATGGTCGAGGATCGATCGAGAGTGGAAGCGCCGGCGTTTGTGAAGACGCCGAGGTGAAGCGATAAGTGCCGCCCAGCCCCGCGACGGCTTTTATAGGCAACGTGGGAGAGGCAGCCGCGGCCGGCCCGTGATGGTGTGGCGCGGCGCGGTAGACCTAGCCTCCGTCTGGTTCGGGGCTGACGGCGTGATGGTGGCCCATGGCACAGCCTCTGGGTGGTGGGCGGGGCGGAGACAACGAGGGGTTAACGACCGTTTGGCTTCGAACGGCTCTGAGGCTTGCGTGATCAGCGGCCGGCAACGGTGGGAATGAGCTGTGGAGGGCGGGTCCCGCGGAGCCGGCGCGCTCGGGGTCTCGGCGATTTTTACCGGCGGCCGTGGATGTTGTGAAACGGACACGTGGGACCAACGGATGGAAAGAAATATTTGGGCCCCATGGAGCATTGATGCGGGTGAGATTTGTTTGTGTGATGCTGGGGAGCCTATGGGAGGACGTCAGGGAATGGAGGGAGCGGCCGTTTCAAATTTTGAAATTTGAAACTTTGTATCGCACCGTCGCGGGAAAAGTACATGGTTACCCTTCGGCGCATGGGCCTATGGAATGGCCGGCCAGTTGCAACCGTAACGGCCATGTATATGTGCATGGATCAAAGGCCTTCTGGAGCGTGGGAGTTAAGCCAAAGAAAATCAGGTCCCATGGTAAAAAAAAAAAAAAGAATCTCACTTCAAGTGCTGCGATGCGGAGGCATCACTAGCTACCCACATGATAAATAAAAAACAAAGTGAAATAACTAATTCCTCTTGTCTTTCTCATACACAGCTCCATTCTTTTTGTTCGATTTCTGATTGTCCATGCAAGATAGCTCAGAAGTTAGGTCTACAATTGATGATGGTTGTTTCCGCTATAGACCGGTGAGAAATCAAATGCCTTTTGCAACCACATTGCTCTTTATCCTATTTTCTTATTTGATTAAACATTCAGAGAGTGATGCGACAAAGTGAAGGTGATGTCGATGATTAGGGCTGTACCTACGATTTTCAGGCTCCTGAACGAAATACGTGATGGAGACCTAAAATCCAAGACATATGAGGAGGCATTGTCAAATACGCAAAAATCTAGGGTCTATTTATTTGCCTGGACTGAGCTAGCCTAGACATATGAGTAGAGGCCGGGTATTCTCAGGTGCAACTCCCCAAACGTGCACCAAAGGGTGGCACGCTGGGCAGCCATTACTAGGGCGTCGTGTGTCAGGCGACCGCAGGCTGGAGATCGCCTTCCCCTATGCGCTAGTGACCGGCATGGAGAGAGAGGGAGAGAAAGGGAGGATAATGGGACCGTGGATCTATTCCCTCTCGCGGCAACCTATTATAGTCTTATGCCGAACCAACGGTGAAAATCATTTTCACTATCGATTCAAAAGAAAAACCGGCGTTGAAAACTTTTCTAACTTCAACCATCAATTTTAAAAATTTGTACTTGTTGACAACATAAGATTTATGTTTTAAGATTCACTAGGATGAATACTTTCATAATATATAATTTACATGTAAAACTACATCGATTTCTTACAACCTGTTCGTTTGGCTGTGGCTCGTCGTAAACGATCGTAAATTTCCAGTCGGAACAGTATTTTTCTCTCACACACACCAGCCAGCAGTACTTCTTCACGTTGGCTGTTAGAATTGGTGATCAAAGGTTGATTTAGGATACAGAAAAAAGAATGTAGAGAGTAGAAACCAACAGCACATTCCAGCTACGCCACTGTTGTTTTTGGAAGAAACCAGAGCCATTTTTTTGGCTTGCGATAGTGTTACACATTGCACAGTGCTATACTGCAGGAGTCGGAGCAACTGGATTTTAATTGTCATGACGTTTGAGCAGCGAGGACGAGTCCTTGAAACCGGTTGCAGCGGGTGTCGGACGAGCAGGGCACCCGCAATATTTGAGCCAGCTTGCTAGCTCATGGATAGCCATGTCACTTACAGTAAGTAGTACATGAGACACCATGGATTCCTGTCCAACGAACAGTATTTGGCTCTTGGTGATATTTAATTTATAAGTTATAATTTATTAGTTAATAAATAATATTTTTTTCTTACATCAAACTAATCTATAGTATTTTCAGCTCTGACTTATAAGGCATAGTTGTTGGCAGGCATGTAAGTCTATAGTACTTATAAGGCAAGCCATGGTTGTTGGCAGGCATGTAGCCACGCTCGTGCTGCTCTGCACTGTGCTCATGCCGGTTCACTGAGCAGTCGCGCCGCTGCCACAGGCTCGCGCAGTCGCGCCGCATCCGGTCTCCGCCATCCCGCGCTCGCCTCGCATACTGCGCGCCGCCGCCACCGGTCTGCCGCTGCTGCATGCCGGCGGCCTCGTCCCTCCCCTCCGTGGTTCATCGCTGGTGGCCTCGCCTCGCATACTGCGCGCCGCCGCCACCGGTCTGCCGCTGATGCCTGCTGCACGCCGGCGGTCTCGTCCCTCCCCGCCGTGGTTCATCACTGGCGGCCTCGCCTCGCATAATGCGCGCCGCCGCCACCGGTCCGCTGCTGCTGCACGCCGGCGGCCTCGTCCCTCCCCGCCGTGGCTCATCACTGGCGGCCTCGTTCCTCCCACCGGTCCGCTGTCGTCGGGGCCGCCGCACCGGCTGTGAAGCGGAGAGAGAAGAGACAGAGGGAAACGGGGGTTCGTGGCTTCGTGTGATGTGCGCGTGGGTGGGCCTGCGTGCCTCGTACTGCGTTCGAGTATAGCGCCGAAACAAGAGCTAGCTCTTCAAAAAAAATTTCTCTTTTTCCTCCTCCACCTCAGCAAAATGATGACCTAGCCTTCTATGAGCTAAGCACTGTTGCTGGTGCCCTCATGGAAGAAGAGCTTGTCGAGAGCTTTCCAGCTCAACCCAGCACTGGATCGTATAAGATTAGCACCACGAGGCTTCAATCAATCGCTTTAATTTGGGGGAACGTCGTATATGATGATGATTCACCCAGGACCAGGATGAATGAGGTAATTACCTATGCACGTTCCTTCGTTTGCATTGCCTTTGTTCATGTCTGACTACTGTAGCACCATCCACAGCATCCAAGCTCCTTCTATTGCTTTCTCCGTGACAGACACTTGGACGTTATTGGTTTATCTGGTGCCAGATGCTTTGTCGCAGTCGACGTTGGCCTCCCTGCTGATGAGTGTGCCATGATCATTCTCCATAAAGATGCTTCACTGTAGTGGGAACCTTCGCTTCTTCCTCGACGGATGCTTAGTCGTCGGTGGAATCTGTCGGATACCAGAAAATAGGGTACCCCAAGCAAAGATCGAAAAACTGCTTAGACCCTAAAGACAGAACCAACGGAATGAACAAACGAGGTCTCGGCCGAAATCTCCGATTCGCCCGAGACCCCGTCGCCAAGCTCCAGCGGAAGCAAACGATTCTCCGACTCGCCCGAGACCGCCTCGCCGAGGCCCCTGCGTCGAGGCCCCCTCGCCGAGACCCCCTCGCCCGAGGCCTCGGAAGAAGTGCCGATTCTCCGATTCACGCGAGGCCAGCTCGGCACCAGCCCCGTGGCTCACCCTGGGCACTTTTCAGCCAAAAACCGATAACCGACCCGACCCGAACCGAGCCGAGCCGAAGTTTCGGTTTGTTCGGTTTTCGGTTTGGTTCTCGGTTTTGCAATCATCAAAGTTCGGGTGTCGGTTTCAGCATGGAATTGAACCGAAGCACCGAATGACCGAATTCATCTCCCCTGTCCCTCGTGCTACTACCACCTTCTCTCCGTCCCCACCTCCCCCACCTTGGGCAGTATAGGCTCAACCCAACCTCGCAGCTTGCAGCCCATCTCACAAACACAAGAGCCTTATCCGTAGGGAGCTCTCCCGTCCCGGTCTGTCTTCCACGAAGTTCGTCTGCTCCAATAGAAAATGCAATGGCGGGCGCCGGTGCTGTGGGCGGATGCGGGTCAGCGGTCGATCGACGAGGGCATCCTATGGCGGGGCGCGGCGGTCGCGTGAGCGAAGCTTAAGGGCGGCGGGCGGCGAGGGCGAGGCGAGGTCTCAAATGACGACGGCGGCGAATGCGAGCGCGAGGCGAGGTCTCAAGAATAAGGCGGCGCGAAACACGGGCGAGCTTCGGGGCTTCGGCGGCGCGGCCGTGACCGTGAGGCATGCTAGCGACTAGGTGAGCGGCGCGGCGACGGACCCTGCCTGGATTTGTTCTTCCTGTTCGGGCGTTTTCCTTTTCCCTTCGATTTGTTCTTCTCTGTTTTCACTTCGGGTTGGATCGGTTGAACCAAAAACCGAACCGAGTAAACCGAAGCCAAAATCATCGGTTTTCGATTCTATAGAACACCGATCGGTTCTTGATTTCGAAACCCGAAGTTCACAAAGAACCAACAATCCGAACCGATTTGTCGGTTAACACCGAATGCCCACTCTGACCCGTGGCCGCCTCTTCAACCGAACTGCTCTGGCCGAACGTCGCATCCAAGCACCCAACCACTTCGACAGACGCACGATGGCACAAGATAGCGCGGCGACCCGACTACACGCCCGGTCGCGTCAACCCCTCGCCATCTGCGACGGCGCAGTAGGGGGTTTATCGACCATCCGTCTTTGCCTAACTCCCCGCACCAAGGACATCGCAACGTGGGGAGTCGAGGCGGGTTCCTCAGAGCCTCGGAATCAGCGGACCGACCGCTCCGTCCCGCCCGAGCCCCCTCGATAGGGCCTCGGATCCACTGATCTCACTCCGCCTCGCCCGTCCGCCTCACCCGAGACCCCCCCGGTAGGGCCTCGGACAAATTGGCCGCGCTCCGCCTCGCCCAAGGCCGGGCTTGTCCCGCAACTTCGTCGCCTCCGCCTCAAAAGTCTCTCTGACAGTCACAGTCGCATCCGATTAATGCGCCAACGACTTCGCTTACGTAAGCCACGATCGGCGGTCTTGCGCCGCAGCAGAG